TGCTATTCAACGTGCCACAGTTCCCAAATGTTTCCCAACAGCAGCATGAATTAGTGGAGGACACTGCTCATTCAGTCCCCTGTTCTGGTTATTTTGGGAAATGTTTTCCTTCCTGTTTCTTTCCCCTAGTTATTGCTCATCTTTGACGTTATAAGGCAACATCTGTAAAGTGGTGAGCAGCTAGAGGCAGATGTGGGCTGTGCAGCAGTCACAGAATGAAAAAAAAATTTATGAAAATTGGAACTTGGAATAAAAAAACAACATGCACTATGCAGCTGTATTGGAAAGAACATTAGGAGAGCTTAAGTACTTCAACTCTCACACACATAGACTGGGTTTAGTCAAACTCCATCTGATAGGGAGGCCACAGGTGGAAACATTTTGCTGCTCCCAAAAACCTCACCTCACACTGATGCTTCCTCTTCAGTATGCAGGAGATGGACCATCCCAGTTTATTGCCTTGCGATGCCCCGTACCTCTGCTTATACTTGTCAGGACATGCACATTTTATTGTTTTACTGATTATGGAGATTGCCTTTGACCAAAATTCTGGTAGTAAATCTTTTGTTGCCAAAGAATTGAATATTGTTTGCCCTGCTCAGGCTCCAGATGTTAAGGCTCACTGTATGTGCTGCTTTGTCCTGTGGACCCTTGGCTCAGAGGGCTTTCCTCCCAGGAGCTATGCTGCAGGACCTTGGAGGAGCACTGGCTGAAGGCATCTGCCTCAAGCACATTTAAGGAGGGAAACAAAGGGAAAAAGCACTGGACCAAAGTGCTGAAGCGGTCACACTGCTCTAAAGTAAAGGTACTGAGGTGGGAGCCTTTGGTGGTTGGGCAAGTAACAACTGGTGCTTGTGCTGTAAGGCACGGGCACAGCAGATCTTTGAATGCCATGCTGCTGCATGGCTAGAGACCCCTCTGAGGGGCTTTCATCTCCTCCCAGCCTCCCTAGGAGGGTGGAATCTGTGATTTGCCCAAGGCCATGCTGCAGGCTTGGCTTCTGCTTGCTGGCTCTGCCCCAGTAACAGGCGGTTGGTCTTTGTTTTTTTTTTTTTTTTGGAGGAGTTCTCTTTACTGTGCCCCTTGCTCTGTGCTGAGGAGAGGGCTGACAACCCTGTAAGGGCTGTGTCATTAAGAGGCAAGTTCAGAAGAATATTGGAGCTGGTGGCAGCAGTGTTAGATGCCAAACCAGGCTGTTTCCTCATCACTTGTCAAACTAGGGAAGGAGCACAGAAGTAGCCCTTCTGTGCAGGCATTGGATAAAGTGCCCTCCCTGCAACTGAGTGCTTGTGTTGGTGCCCCGTCCGTCCCTGCTGTACCTTCATGCTGGGCTTCTCCTGGGCTGCTCTTGCCTGGTCCCAGTGCACGGGCCAGAGGGTGCCAGAGGAGCGGGTGCTGCCTGCTGTGGGGCACTGGTTGCACCGAGCAGGTAACTCAAGACCTGTTCAGTGCTGCCACCAGTGCTGACCTCGTGGCCAAAAGGAGAACATCAGCTCCCACCCGCAGAGGGCCAGGAGAGAAACACCCCTGGGTTGTCTGCTATTTGACTGCATTACGCTCCCCAGTTGCGTCACCTGGACCCACATGCCAGGCCGCAGGAATGTGTGTGTGTGCTGCTCCTGCCTGGTCGCTGCTCCTCAGCAAGCACATCTGCTTTGTCACAGCACCACGTGGTGGTGGAGCAGCTAACACAGACTAGCAGCAGATGCTTAGGAATAGTGGTGAGAAGTTACAGGTGCTGTGAGCACAGCAAAACACCTTCCTACATGCAGACTCTGGATAAAGCAGCTACACCAGTCCATGCACCCCAGGGGTCATCTCCAGCCATGCAGCTTCAGTGTCTCCTCCTCTCTGTTGCTGCAGAGGCAGCTTGCTGCTATCGTGGACTTCTAGTCAATACCCCAGCCTCAGAGACTGCAAAAGTAAATGAAGACAGATCTTGAGTACATTTGGCTGACTAGGAAAAAAGCGTTACCAGGCTGGGAACAAGCATTCCTGGTTTATGTATTATTGAGGCTGAATACTTGTCTCATGTCCTACCATCTCCATGAGCTGGCCCACAGATGTGGATGCCAGCACCGTCTCCACGCTCTCCCAGGCAGCTGGGACAGCAGCAGTGCCAATGGCATGACCAGTGGTGAGGAACTCTGGTGTGTGCCCAGATGCAGGTGTACCTACAGCTGCATTTGCCCAGGTCTGAAGAGCTGCTTCTCTGGGGTCTTTGCTTCGGAGCCATTTCTAGAACATTTTCATCCAGAGGTTCTTTTGATGGTCTATTTTCCCACCATGGTTGGGCGATGCTTATTTCTGGCTCACCTGTTATTGCTAGAAGTGAAATGGGACTGCACAAGCAAGGGGTGTTAGGCTAGCAATTTCTTGATGGCAATCTGGGTTCAAAAAATTCTCACTTTTGGCTGTAAGTGGAACTTTGTAATTTTCTGCTATTGGAATACACCTCAGGCTTACATGGTGCATGCAGGGCATGGCTTGGGATTCAGGGCTGCAGCTGGTAGTATTTGATAGCTCCCTTCTCTGCTGAACAATACAGCCAAATTCAAAGCAGCTGCTCTGACTTGTAGTCACCTTCAGGGACTAATTAGCAATTCTGAGTTTGGCCATACTTCAACAAGCGTCAGTTTTCAGTCTCTGTGCTGGCCAGTGCTGCTCCTCGTATGAACACAAACGCCTTCCTTACGTCCTGCGCACAACAGAGAGGAGCTGGCAGCACTAACAAGCTTTTGGGGCCTGTGACTCAAGCAAAGCATTATGTGGGTCAGTGCCAGGTTTCAGGTGATTAGTCCAAGTGCTTTTCAGCTACTTCAGCTGTTGAGAAGTCCACCTTCACTGAGCTCAGTGGGAAGCACCCTTGAAATCTCATCGTTTAGAAAGTCAGCTGGCATTTAATAAAGAAAACTAATACAGAGACTGTTACCTTTGAGGGTGGCTGGCTAGAGCAGCGTGTCTCAGGCACCTGGATGAGCAGTTATTTTCACTCCTGTTGCCATGCACCATACAGTGTCTCCTGGAGCTAGCTGGCTTCAACAACACGTATTTGCCTGCATTTCTGAGTATCGTTTCCTTGTCTTGTGCCTTTAAGTATTTCTGTTCTTTTCTTGTATTTCCTTGCTAATATCAGAAGTGCTTTGAAGCACCCATGGTAACTGGGAAGCTTCTGCAATTGGTTTAAATTTATCTGATTTGATAAGAAAAAAAAAATTATTAATTTGCTTGACCACATCTCTTTTCAAAGTCTACACAGCTGGAGTCCATAGTTAAAAACATCTTCCAAGAGCATTCTGGAGCTCCAGGAAGAAGTGTGTAACTTCATTTACTCAGTGTTTAGCCTTCCTTCATGTGTGCACACATCTGCATAGCCCTGTGCTCCTAGTTACACTCAGCACTTTAACAGAATTATGTGATACTTGAGCTGGGCGTTGGCTGGAATGTCCTACATACTTTCTCCAGCCTAGGACTTCTGTGTTGCAAAAGTTACAGCAGGAGTTAGTATCTCACCACAACCCATTATGGGCCTTCTGAAGCAGCTGGCACTACCCTCGGCTACAAACAGGCTGCTCAGAGAGCCTGGCCCTCAGGGGCAGCACAGTCAGTAGTTCCCAAGTGTCATTTTAATGACTAGTGATGGGATTGGAGAAGTAATAAAGCCCTTGAGAGAGGCAGGAGAGGGTAAACAGTACTAATAAAAACCAACAAACTCATGAGAAGTCTGATAAAGCTGTGTTCAGGCTCTGTTCTATGATGCCTGACAAACACTAGAATTTTCTGTTGGAAGCAGAACTGAGCAGCATCTTTCCAACAGTGTGCATCTCACAGGAGCGTGGGCAGGCCAGTAAAACCTCGGGATGGTCTCATCCTACACCCATCATTTGGAGTTGGCTTGTACTAAAGATTATTAAGAACCTGGCTGAGAATTTGCTAAGTGACATATTATGGGAAATAGAGTTACAGCATCACACCACAAGGCACCAGTAAAAAAAAAAAAAAAAAATGTGTCCCTAGTGTATGTCAATCACTGAACAGTCTAATTGGACATCTACTCTAGTTCATGTCACCTATTGTCTTGTAGCCAGAAATGCCCATTTCTGTCTGCTTGGCTACCTACCGTGCTCCCATTCAAACTCGGCAACAAACTCTTTATTTTTTTATCCACCTGTGACAAACAGGTACAACAATACTGGTTCTGACCAACCTGGAATATATAAAATGAAGAGAAGAGGGATATAGCCAGAGAATCCAGTTTAATAGGCTGCTATACAGGAAGACTTTGTTCTATGATACATTCTGGAAATAGTTTTCAAATGTTACTTACAGATACTGTATAAAATAGATACCAGATTTATTGATTATACATCAAGATCCTTTGATAATTTAACCTGCTATTAAGTCATATATAAGATGTGTGATGGAAGGTGGGCAACACTTTACAGGACAATCTAAATCTAATAAATAGTTCTGCATCTCACCACCAGATTGAGCCACTGCTGTGCCATCATCAGACTACAGCAGAGCAACCACAAAGTCACACACACTGGTACATCTGCATGTAGTACAACAGAAGATGAGAGTCCCATTCCTCAAGCAGCTCCTCTTCCCTGCACAAATTTTTGGCTTTGGTCTGTACAGTAATACTGTGTGTGCTTGTTTGGTCCATGCAAAGCTATGAACAGTGTCTCTTTAAGAAAAAATAGAATTCAAATTGAAGAGGTATAGTCTCGGTTAATCTAGGATTAAAATGAAGTCTCTCTCTGATCACAGAAGGGTTTGTACCTGCTCTTTCTGGGCGTCTATCTGAATGGGGGGAGGCAGTAGCTACTGAAGTGTTTTAAGCGACACAGCTCTTGGTGTGTGTCCAGGCTCTACAGAGGATGCTGGGTTAGCTGAGGAGTTAGCAAGGATTGTACTTCTGATACAGCACGTGTTGGGGAAAGTACAGGCCGGGGGGGGAAACAAACCACCAAGATCTGGAACTGGCACTTCTTTACCCACAGGCTTATCACACCATGAGAACACTTTCACGCTGGAATATACACCATGGCAGCTGGGTGAAAACTGCAAACTGCATGTTTTCTATTGTCACAGGAACCAATAGCATACTTGGGAAAAACCCGCGGCTGTTTCTCTGAGCCGCAAACAGTGTGCACATATGCAAATTGTACAGAGAGATTTCCCATTAAAACGAACTGAGCGAAAACAGACCACGGGAAACAAACTGCACGTCCAGTGAAGTGCCAGGGCAGCGCTGGCCGTGCCCGGCGCTGCAGGGGCAGTCCTGGCAGCGGGGAGGGCGCCAGCGTCACTCGAACATCTCGTAGTGGCGCGTCTGCCTGACGCGGGGGATCATGTCGATGAGCAACCTGCCGAGGAGAGCACAGGGGGGTCGATGCAGGAACAGGGGGTGGCTCTCGAGCCTGGGGGGGCTCCACTGACTTACAAACAGCTATTTATCTTACAGATAAAAATAAACTCGCACGTAGTAACAGCCTCATCTTCCTTTCTCCTGATCAGAATTAATTCCACCCACAATCATCTCTGCCCAGAGGGGAGTGAAGAACAAACGGGGTGGAGGGGGGCTCTCCTTTAGGACACGGTGACACTGCAATGCACAGCAGTGGCCACCGCCAGCTGGAGACGCCGTGGAGGGAGGTGTGGAAAGGGGCTGTTGCAGCAACCCATTTCACACCAGGCTGCTGCTGGCAGAAGGTGTCTAACTGCAGTAGTTTCACAAGTTAAATCTAGGTAACCGCCCAACCAAAATTTAGACTTGGCCTTCAGTAGCCTTCGTGGTGTCTGGGTGACAACAGCTGAGGGCGCTGCCTGAGGCCATGGATGCAGCCTGAGTTTCACTGGCTGAATAAAACACTTCTGAGGCTATCTGGCATGTTTAAATAACTACTTCTGCATGGATTTACCTCTACACAGCTTTCCAGAACAGCTAGTTTTACAATGGAAATAGCAATTATAGTAATTTTTCCAAGAATGGTATCCCACATTAAAATGTTAGTTTAATTTTCCAGGTTAAAAAAAAACCCACTGTGCTTCCAGCTGACAGCTTACTGCACCTGGCCCAGGTCTGCTCCACACCAGGCACCATTCCCACTAACTAAGGTGCTACATCTCCCCCCATAGCAGAAAATGGAATAATAAAACACAAACTTCTTCAATTCCATCCAGCCAAGGGAAATGGTGGCAGCAATGATGTGCTGCACTTCCTTTGATTTTACTCTATTTCTGGTGCCACAAGTCAAGAAATCAAATATTGAATTCTCAAAATTCAATAGAAATAGCATTTGAAACATGACTGGCTAACCTTCAGTTCAGATGTTGCTGTAAGGTAGGTCTAGGATAGAAATTGCTATCAAAGTCATTCTTTAAACTTGGGCACCTTACTCTTTAACCTGTGCTTTGAAAAAAAAAAAAAAAAAAAAACAACAAAAAAAACCAACAAACCAGTGCTTAGAAATGTGCCATAAAAGCAGCATGGAGTGATTTTTACTCAGGATTTTTCAACTATTACAAAGCCTGTAATTTTCAAATTCAGGTATTTCTTCTTAAGTCCTCGTGTCTTTCCAGCTGATGTGAGACACACAATCTTTTATCCCTTTCCACACACTCTGCTTCAGTGTTGGCAGCTAGTCTAATAAATTCCAGTGCCTGATTTCACTGGAGTTATATAAGCCTTTAAGAACTATCGCTTATTACATCAAACAGACAGCCCATCTGCTGTACATACCGAAATACCTGCTAGCAGGAGATACTCACTTGATTCCATAGGCAAATATTGTAAGTCCAATTAAAACTCCTATACTGCCATCCAGATACCAGACAGAAGAATTGTGTTTAAAAACTTCTGCACTAAGAAGGATGGAAAATCCCATTATTCCACCTACAAGAGAGTTGAAACCTAGAAGGGGGGAAAAAAAAGAAATCATGAAAGGCAGAACCAGCTGAAGGAATTTGCTTGAGCCACTTGGGGCACAGGCCCCGGGTGAGGTTCAGGGGGCACCCCGGCGCTGGGCTGGGGCGGCGGCTGTGCCACACGGTCACAAACCACACACGGGTTAGCTGTGTCTGAGCAGTGCTTGGAACTCTGTCACTCCTCCTGGCTAATATAAATAACTCTACGTTCATTTCCCTGTACTCTGGAACTTGATTTGGTCAGTCTCCATTTTTCCCTTGTCTGCTGAGATCCAAATCCCAGCCCTAGCTGCTGTTCCTTTCATACAGCTTTCACCACTTGATGCTTGCTTTCCAAACCGCAATATTTCTTCAGAATACTGGACCTGCTTCATGTTGACTCTGACAGTGAAGCTCTTATCTCTCCTGTAGCTCATCATCATGAACAAAGTATCTTTGAGCAATTTTGGGGTTGCTGCAGCCCTAGTATGACTGCTGCAGCCCAGTTATTCTCCAGAGAATCTCTTTGTCATGCACGCACCATTGCTGCATGTTCCAACAGCCCTGGGCAGGACTCCAAAGGCCACTTCTGATGTACCCAGAGGCGCTCACTTTGAAAAGGAGCAAACTGGAGTCCAGTATACCCAAGGAACTCATGATAAGGAAAATGATGTGCACAGGAACTTTTCAAAGACCTTCCTCTGGAAACTTTACCCCATTCCACCTATTTGTTTACATGTATTTAGCACTGTAGCTTAGAGCTGCATATGCTGCCTTAGGGAAGACATACAGGACAACCCTAGGAATATCCTCCATTCATACCTCAGACATATCACAGGAGCTTCCTACCTATTACTCACACTTTCTATAATCATCCTTTTAGATTCTTATTTTTAAACCCTTTCCCTTTGTCTCCAAGATTGTCCTTTCAAAATTCTCCTAGAGCTGTTGGAACAGTTAATGCCATTTTTCCTTCAGCTTTTGTTTGATTAGCTATTATTTTCCATTTTTAAGTAAACACTGATAATGCATTCATTAGATAGCTACATATACTATTTAAGCCAGGTAATAGATGAAAAATCAAACTTGAAATATTCTGTATTGCTGGTAACTCTAGTTCAATTCCCCACAACTGCCAACAGCCACATACATGACACTTATTCCTAAACATCTCCTTTGATGCAGACCCCTCACAGCCAGTCCTTAACTACCTCATGTTACATCTTTTTGAAAGATATACCTAAAACCTGACCTTTCCTAGGTATCCATACAGCTGAAATACTTGTAAAAGTCATCAATATTTTGATTAAGATTCACCAGATCCCTTCAGCAGGTCTTTAAATGCAAAGGGGACTCTGGCAGGGAAAAGCACGTGTCAGCCAGCAAGTGTGGGGCAGGACAGAGCATACAAAGGTTTCAGGCTTCCAGCCCTGCAAAGTAAAAAATGGGTTGAAGTTTGTGGCAGTGTGTCCTACAACTGGTATCAATCCTGATCCTTTTTTATTCCCTCCCAGTCAATGTAACTTATACTGCTAATACATGTTGATCAAGTATATTGTGTGTAGATGCAAAGTATAAATTAACTATATACTTAAACCAACATTACTTCCTCTACTCCAGCTTAAGTTACAATCCACCAGCAAGATTTGCAAAAGACAGAAATAATAAATTTTCTTGATGTTATTGGCTGGTGGTTCCAAACGATCTAAAAGCTACTTACAAAGGAAATTGTTTTCTCTTTGTGACTGCCATTCAGGCAAAACTTTCTTTGCTGATGTGGCAGGAAATCACGTAGCAGCTGCAGGTATTAATCCAGACACCATGATCTGTGCATCAGGCTAGCACAGGAAAAAAGAGGTGGCTAAATCTGGGAAGGGAATAGCTATCTAAAGCCTACAGGAAGGCTGGCTGACATCAGCTAACTGTCGTATCTGCATTTGTTCTCTGAGATGTCACAAAATTCAAGATAGGAAATGACTGGTTTTATTATCCAAAAGGCCACGAGTTTTTGCTACAAATTGTACAAATAACATTTTGGTGTATTGGGATTCATACATTTAGGCTTTAAGGAGATGTTGTTAAGCCCTACTCTAAAACAAAATTAGTCTTTTAAAAAAAAGTTAATAGGGGTTGATGTCTATGAGAGAGAATTTGCTCTTTTGAAATTAAACCTATTTTTCAGGAAGAAGAATGTATCCTCTTGTTACTCAAACCAGTTTGTTGGTCTACAGCCAGTGATCACAGGAGGTAAATTAGCAGGAAACAGAAAACACTAAAAAAAGCTGTGCAAGGGAGTGCTAAATCTGTCTCAGCCACTGAATCAAATTGTCTCATCCTGATTGTTAACAAATCAAGTATATATGTAAATATATCTTGTGAAAAAAAAAGACATTTAACAACACATGGTAAAATCAGCCTCCTGCATTTTCTAAAGTAGTTCTGAAGGACAGAAAAGGGAGATAAAAAACAGGCCGAGGTAACTGTATACTTTATACCTTAATTTTTTTTAATCAATGAATGAACAATCTCCAGCTCAGCAATATAATTAGCACGAGGATGTAATTATGGGGGAAGAGATTTCTGTATCATAGAGGCGGCCAATTCAGAGCTCAAGTTATTCAAGAATTTTTCAGCTAATATTTTGTCTGAAAAAACTGCACTGTTGTAAAAACAAGCTACAGTTTTTTAAAGGGAAAGTTACTCCTTTGCTTGCCCACACACAGTTCTGAAATGGCCGACACAGCCCATTTACCTTCTGACAGCGAGGGATGTCAGACCCTCTGTTGTAGTTCCCAGGATCCTTTCCCAAATCCTTTCTGCAGGTTGGAAATCTTTTTGTTTCAAAATTACTATGGACTCTGCCACTCTACAGACAAGAATAAGATCACTGAACAGCATGGTCTGTTGGGGAGAATCACAAATGCAGGGAGGCAGCAGCTTATTCGTAGCCCCCGCACTGCTGTTTTGGTTCTTTTTTTGCTTATTTTGTATTTAAAATATGAATACCCATGAAGTATTTGTATGTGGGATGATACAAAAGATAAATACTCACAAAATGTGTTATCACACATCACCAAAAGCATTTTGAGTATGTTTAAATTACTTAAGATAAAGCAACTGTATGTCTCCCTAGAGTAAGCTGAAAATTTAATTTCCTTAAAGTGAAATTGTTAGCGGGGTAAAATAACTTACATACCAGAATCCATGAATCATTAACACCCTACTGTGTATGTTTACAGAGTATTTCAAATAGTCCTGTGTTTGTAGAGAAAAACTGGTAGATTTGTAGGGCACTGTGAAATCACCACCATCTCTGTAGCCTCGCTTGTTTGCGGAGAAGATCCTCGTGGCTTTCTGAATATTTGCAAGCTTGAGCCTTGTCACCAAGAGGCATATCTGGACCTACTTTTAAAACGTGCCTTTAAACACACCTTTTGCACCACAAACACCTGAGTAGTGACAGTCAAAGGTCTTCTAAGGGTATAGTGGATGAGACTCACCTTGTGCCAAGCTCTAGCAGGACCAGAGGAGCATAGGGCAGCAGGCAGGCAAAGCCTTTGTTTTACACGTTTTACACCAGCTCTGCAGAGTGGGGGGAAGAGCACTGCGGTGGCAAATGGAGCCTACAGGGGGTATGTCTGAATGATGGTTGTGGTTCCTGCTCAAGGCAGGGAGGCGTTTGCTGCAACAGACTTGCTTCTTTGTAACTGTAGGGATGAGGCTGGTTACCACGCACAGGCAGTGATGATAGATGGGACTTAACCAAAACGATGTAAATTGGTGTCATATCCCACCCTCTGTAGTCTGCTCTCTGACTAATACACACCTGACTAAATGCTCTACTTCTAACTCTCTGTCATTGCTTATTATCCACACGCTGGCTGTGGGACTTCCAACAGACACACCTATTGCAGCTGAGGTACCTATACAAGGGGTACCACAGGCTGTCCTGGGTTTGGGTTCCTTTTCCCATTTCCCAGTGACCTACTTATTTCAATGCTCTTTCACAGCTGCCCTCATGTGGGGATCACTTGTATCCTCTGTGTCTACAACACTCTGTGGAAGAATCTATAAATGCAGCAGGATCAGCTTGACACTCACCATCGGTTATCAGCGCTCTGCTTGTAAGGACCTTTCCCAGCATAAACTTGATTACTGCCAAGGCAGTGCAAAGGATTCCACTTAAAACAGAGACACTATACAGAAAATCATCCTGAAAGAAAAGATGTCAGACATTAGTATACCTTCTGGTTGGGCCCCACAAATTGAATGACAAATAGTACTAGTTATTCTGCATGAGAAAAACATTTCCTGAGTTAGGACTTTCACAACAGCTGGTGCTTATTTAGCTTATACTGCTGTCTGTACTTGCTCTAGCAAACATAATTAATTGACAAGTCCAAGCAACAAATTTTTAATTGACCCAAACTCCTCAGCATCAGGAGGTTATACACCTGCAGGGCTGACAGCAGACTGCCTAATAATCTAGGGTCTAATGCAATCAGTAGCGAAGTCCCCACATGTAGGATACAGCTTTGAGAGTAGAAACCCACTTACCAGACCTTTGCTGATTTTTGGTGTGAGAAATAACCTTTTAATATTGTTTCTAATTCTGCCCTTGCTTTGGTTTTGTTCAGTTTCCTTCTTCTAAGGTAACCTCTGGTCCAAGTTACATCCATGAGAGTTTTGGTAGTGATGTGCAAAGTCAAGTTCAGCTCTTTCTTAGAAAACAAATTTTTCATGGCCTTTCATTGCACAGCTACAGGAATACCCACATTGCTTAATTAGAATGTGTAACACAGGCTCCCGAGGCTCCTTCAGCAGAAAGCTGCGTGTCTATGTAGGGCAAATAAGTAACTAATTATTGCTTAAGACACATTCTCTAAAAGGTCATCTGGAGGCACCTCCCTCTTTCTGCTGACTGTTTTGTGTTTGGGTGGGGTGGGAGGAAGCACTCGTGGGTGTTGGAACACAAAAGCCTAAAGGGAGTCCCTACATCCCTCTACCCCCTCAGGTACAGCAGCCCACAGGCTATGCAGAAAAACTGAAGCAAGCTCTTTGCATGCTTGCTTGCCATCTAACCACAGAGCTTTGAAATAGATTAATTTATTAGTCTTAATAGAAGCTTTAATTTAAGCTGTTGCAACATCAGTGCAAATGAAGTAAATAGCAAGAATATATATATATATTTTTAACTGCAGGTCTAAGTGGGCCAGGGCCACTGGGACCCCGTTACTGATTAAAACACTCTGGTGAAAATCCCTGTTGATAGTGAATGTTGTCATGATGATTCATCATCAGCTCCATCCATTTTCAGTATTCCAGCAGCAATTCAAACCCCCCAACAATTAAAAAAGAAAAATAAAATAAATTTTTAAAAGCTGCTTAGGAAGATACTGGGAATTAGATTACTGGTATAATGTGCTCACATCCCCCAAAAAATTGTTCAATATATTTTTATACAATTTTTAAATGTCATATAATTTTTCAAAGTCTACTTCAGTCACAAGCTCATTCTCTCTAGTCCTGGCACATTACTGAATATTAAGACAAAATGCAGAGGGAAAGACAATAAAATAGAAATAAGGACAATACAGAACTCAAGCACTGAGTAAAGGCAGGATAAAAAGCATTTGTAAAATTATTTTAACAAAACAACTACAAAATACCCAGGCAATTTCAGAGTGTTAGGGAAGGACTAAGAATACTTGCTTGCTGTCAGCCTAGGCAGGAAAGCTGGGAGCTTTCAGATCTGAAACAACAACAAAACCCCAAAGGTCTGGATAAGCATTGCACAAAGCACTCGAAATTCGAGATCCTTTTCAAAATTCATGCCTCTAAACTTTGTGCATCTTTCTCAAAAATGTGTATTTACAAAGACTCAAAGAATTAATTTTGATGGCCTGACAGATTCTGATTGACCTTGAGATTTTAATCTAATGTCATCTAATATTTTATTAGATATTTTACCCAACATTTAATATACAGCCTATGTATAAGACTTCGGAATCACCTGAAGGAGAATTATAGGCTCCATCAACCTAGGCAGCCCTCTGCGAGCCTGCAGAGTTAGCAGAGAGCCATTCCCACACTCTCCTTCAGAGTGAGCTTCCCACAGAGGCACGAGCTGGGTTCTCACTTCAGCTTTACCTGCACAAGTGCTCCTCACAGGCAGCACGCTGGGCGAGCGCTCAGCGCTGCGTTTCTCTTGCGTCTCACTCGCCAGTGCTCACAGGCTACTTGAGATCTCTGATTTTATCATCATCCCACAGACCCCAAAAACCAACTGATGGCTCCTAGGCATCCCTACCTTGTCTTCATCTTCCTCCTCAGTGAAACATGAGCTGTCATTAGCACAGAACCAAACACTGTAAAGCCAGTGCAGGTGACAGCACCAGAAATTAGTTTGCTACCAAAACTTATGTTGGGGCTAACAAAATGCAGTTTTCCTATACCTGTGAAATTCTTGGGGATGGACCTGCAAACAATTGCAAATTCACATAGTTTGGAAAAAAATACAAATCCCATTATCAGAGACTGAAAGTTATTGATACAGGTGTTCAGAAGTCCAGTTGTTAATTCAGAATCTTGCATCACTCCCTGTGTTATAGTGCAAGGTTCCATTCTCTGCATGGCACATTATTTTGAGCATGGCACGTACCATAAATTTCTGGGATGAAATCAGTTTTTTTCCTGCATATGTCATTAAACTCACAGTATGGGGAAATGTATCTTGCCATTTGTTCAAGCTACGTGCAGTTGTAATCAAAACTAGCCTAGCTGCTTTACTGGAATCCAAGAATGACTTAAATTTGAGACAGATTCCTGAATCAACTCATAAAGTGAATTAATAAATGTCCTTGATAAAGTGCACACAGGAACTAGAAATTATTCTTAAATTTGGTGGGGTTTTTTTTCATTGAATCACAGAAGACAAGCTCATGTTGTTGCCCGTACTAATGCAACAACCACTGATGCACAAGAGGTGACAAATCAAAGCTCCCTTGTTGTAACAGTGCTCACAGAAAGGGAAAAAATAAAAAAGCCCTGCTCTTAATGCAAATGCATCAACGGTTTCTAGCTTGAGAATCTGCCAAACAGATTTCAGAAAATTACATTCCTTTTTTGAAGTCTAAAGCCCTAAATCTAAACAACATCTAAAATCACTGTCTCCGGTTGTGTGCAGCTTCTCACAACAGCCACGGGGAGGCGGCGATTCCTCAGTTAACTGAGCACACGATGCGTGAAGACAAAACTGAAGAGAACAAAAATGTTTTAAATTCACTTTCCTCAGTACTTTGCCGTATGATTTTTGGGTATCCGGGCTCCCAAGAGCTGGAAGAAGAGCACTGAAGCTGCTTGCTATTAATCGGTTTTGCAGATGTGAGAGATCACCCAAAAACAGGCAGTGAAGTGCAGCAGCACGTCACAGGTGAGGCTGTAAGAGAGACACTGCTCAAACCTTGGCGCTAACTTCGCTGCAGTGCTCAGAAGCTGGAGCAGGTTTAGGACAGCAGCTGGCTGCACTGGGAGGCTACCAATGAGGATGTCGTGTTAGGAAGTGTCTACTCAGAGGGATTCAACAAATTACCTGAGGGAGCGCTGCTGTGGGCAGAGTACCTGGGCTGGAGCTGGGGCCTCAGGGAGGCGGGTGGCCAGTGGGACAAACCACTGACACACACACCTCCCTGCAGTGATGTGGGCTCCAAAGAGTTAAACACCTCATACTGGGGCTGTGGAATGATTCCCATTCAACTAACTCATCCTTTGGAGAAATGAAGAAAAGAGAAGCCATAATGGAGACCTAAATTAATAAAATAAGCCTGGCCATCTGGCAGCCCGTCCCTGCGGACCTCCCCGCAGCCCTGCCCTCTCCGTACCCCTTGCCTCCCCATCTGACAGCCATTAAGAGCAGGAGCACATCCAGCCAGGCTCACTGTACACGTCCTTGGTGTGATCATAATTAAAGCAGCAGCAAATTGTGACAGATGATAAAAATTTAAATTCTGATCATTTCCATACGATAAAGGCTTCTCACCACAGTAGATAAAGCTCTTTCCTTTTTCATTTCTTTTCATCACATTCCCTCATTACTACCATACTTTACATGAGACCTTAATTAAAGGACACATATATCTTCTTAGATGGCTTCATGTATATAACAGCACTGTACATATGGGAGGTGCCCATCCTGGACTGCCATCTCATTACACAGCACTAATATCTACAATCTCCCCAGTTATATTATGCCAGATTTTACACTAACCGTTTCCCAAAATAAAGCTTTTCTAGGATGCTTTTTTCTGTACTAGGAAAAGAATAACAGAAGTCAGCAGGCAGCTTTCCTCTGCTTCATCCAGATGCTTTGTTGCCAAGAAAAGGGGTCTTCAAAAACGTGACAATGGTTCTATCCCTGCTTTTAAGGATTTCATCAAAAGCAGCAGTAGTTTTATGACTTAAAGAACATTTGTTGATGATGACACTGTGCCTTTGATCTCTTTCTGAATCCACTGTATAAACTAAACAAAAGCCACCAGGGATGCCTCAGTGCTGCTTATTAGATGGAGATTATTTTAACCCAATTCCCAGCCTAGTAACTAAATTTCATCTGATTTCTGCTCCTAATCTTTTCCTAGAATGCATGTTTGCTAATTATGACCCTAAAACTTTGCCCTGATTTCATACATTATTTCTACCAACTCCCCACTGCCCCCTCTCTTTTACACTCCTTCCACTTCCACTTCTGGGATGGAAAAATCTTCTCATTTCACCTTAAGTGTTGATTAAAAAAGGTATTCAGTGGTATGGAAGGAAGAAGCACATTTGGTGTTCCTCCCCAGTTGTCACAATACACACAATATTATGATTAAAATCTGTGCGATCCGCTTCTCTAGCTATTCTTCATAGTCCATTCCACTGCAGTCCCAAAAGAAGCTTTTTCTCCCACCCCTCAACAACTGCAGGTTGATTTCCACTCTTCTGCCCTATCCTCAGCTTCCTCTGTGAACCAGGCAAAGGCTCAACCACCTCCCCACTTCTGCAGGAGCTGGAAACTACCCATACCACCTTTTTCATGCCATTTTTCCCCTTCCTGGAGAAGCTGGTGTCTCATGATGTTGTACCTCTTCTCTGCTGTGCCTTGCTGATCTTGGCTGAGGAGGTAGGGATGCATTTCTGGAACACTACAGATGCTGTTGGCAGGCACGATGTCAT